TTTAGATTAGATATCCCTCACCTCGTGGGGGTGGTGAGGCCCTGGCACAGGTTGCCCAGAGAAGCTGTGGCTGCCCCATCCCTTGAAGAGCTCTAGGCCAGGTTGAATAAGGCTTTGAGCAACCTGCGATAGTGGCATCCCAGGCCATGGCAGGGGGGTTGCAACTAAACAATCTCTGAGCTTTGTTCCAACCCAAACCAATCTATGATTTGTCAGGACTAGAGAGGCCCTTATGACAATAGTCTCCAAATCACAGTTTATGAGCCAACTTTGCTCATAAAACTATGTTCAATTGCTTAATGCAATGGGAAATAAATCATAATTTTTTAAAGAGTTAGATTGAAGACAGAAGGAAAAAAAATCTCAAAAACTGGAGTTGTCCAAGGTATGTAATTTTATTAGTGTTACTGCTAATGGGTAAATGGAGGTTGTGGACCACTACATTGCAGGGTTTTTTCCTTTCTTCCCTAATTTTCAAAACCTTGTTAACCACATAAACTGTGCTTAATCTCTTAGAAAAAAACCCTGCCCTTCTAGCAATTAAAGAAGCACAGGCTGAAAAAAAAAATAACTGTGTCCCCAAGGTCAGCAAAGTGACTTTGGTTGGAATTTGGATAATAGTTCACATGCACTTCACTGGACTCATATTCACATCCTCTTGTGAAACATATGAAGCTGTGCCTTCCCATTTTTTGTACCAATCAAAAAAATGCCTGCTCTGCATTTTCAAGGTTATGGAGTGACAGTTTGTTGAGTAAAGATCTCCTTTCATTCCATAGTGCATGCTTCTCATAAATCAATCAGTCATTTTGAACCATAGCCCAAAGAACAGAGGAAGTATCAAATGTGTCCATTATTAAAGTAGAAATTTTAGACATCCCATCACTGAGAAGCTAAATTGGAACTCAATCAACAAAAGTTGATGCTATTGACCTCAAAGATATTAATGTTTTATGCTGCATTTTTGTAGATCTAAGCACAAAATTTATTACCTGCTCAAAATGCAAGCGAAAAAAAATCTGACAGGCAAATAAAGAAAACACAGTTGTAAGAAAAACTATTGCATTCTCATGCTTCAGGAAGGTAACACAAATAATGTGGAAGAAAATTAAAAAATAAAATCACATATTATGTTACCGAGAAATGGATAACACTGTTGTGCCTGACTCATCTTTGCAGCTAAATGATTTGCATACAAATGGCACACACAGAACTACTATGTTGTATCTTTACTTCCTTGAGTAGCTGCCTCTAGAGGTTACCAAAACTGCTGAAAGCTTACAAAAATTATGTTATAAATCTACTATAAATAAAAACTTGGGAGGTGAAGGTTAAAGTTCTGTAAGTTCCAAAAGAATACCTCCTGATTTTTCCTCCTACTTCTCCCCAGCCTGTAAGTTTAAAATCTCTGAGGCTTACTCAATATTACCCAAACCCCAAGTATTATTATTTCAATTGCTCTTTAATTTAATGGAAACATTCTTGGTGACTGAGTATGGCAGCAAATTAATGACTTTTGTTAGTGTCAAAATCTCAAGAAAATCTTTCGTCCCATCCTCCTAACTCAAAAATATTCATCAGAGCCATAACTGTATGTTAAGGACACTTTTCTTACCCACAGAAACACTACACATACACTTACAAAAACCCCAAGCTTGATTAAAGTAACAAGCTTTGTATAGTATCTGAACAAAAATCTCCATCAAAACCACAAACCATTCAAAATCTGTCACTCTCCTCCAGGAAACAAGAAAATGCTGATGTGCCCATCATGGAACAAAACAGGTTCTTATTTCTGCTGTGCTAATTTCAATTACACCAATAGTTCTACCATAATCTGAGTTATATTAGGGCAGATTAGTAACTCAGACTAGAAGGCACTCTGACCATAAAACAGCATCTCTGGTGGTGGTGCAAGATTTAGAAAGGTAAGAGTTTTACTGTTTATTACTAAATCGTAAGTCTAACAGGAGTTATTAACCTACCCCAAAAGCACTGTTTTACCTTCCATTTTAAAAAGAATCAATTAACATGAACACTAGTCTTTTGTTCAGAGAGTGCATTTAAGAAACATGAAGAAGCATACAAATGTCATATTCTGTTCATTACATGAGCACTTGTAAACTCAATTTTCTTCTTACTTTTGTGGAAGGTACAGGATCCTAAAATAAATACAAACAGTTTAGAAATACATTACAATGTAATTTTTAACTTTAGTATCTTTAATATTTTATTAGATAAAGTAATTAATGTAAAGTTTTGTGTTTTAATAGCTTTGTGCATTTCAGTATGTTCAAATATCTACACCAAAATGTACCTTTGGTATATTTTAATGAAATTTGTCAGAATGATGCTAAATCTGAAAAATCAGCAAACACAGATTTTAACCAGCAGTTCTACATAATTCTCAGTGAGCAAAAGAAATAACTAATTTCATAATTGAGTCCACTATTTATTTTGGGGGTTTTTTTAGCTTTTTCACTCTTTTAGGCACCATTTCCACCAGGTTCTGTGGTTCACAGCAGCCTGTCCTGGAATGTTGACTTTCATTCCACTGTAAGAAATCGAGGACCTTGTTTGTCTGCATATCCAGTCACCTTCTGCTGCTTGTGACAGTCTTACAGCTTCTTAAGTGGATTGTTCTTCTCCAAGTCATGTATTCTCATCTCTGCAACTTCCCAAAAAGTTTGTTCAAAAACTTCACTGTTGCGGTGCACATGAATCTTTATCCCATTTATGGACTGGAATAATTTATCAACAGCTTGGACATATTTTTTGCCCGAGTTAACAGTTCACACACGCTTTTCTTAACTCTCTCTCCAAACTTAATTAATCCATTTTCTCTCATAGTTTTCATTTTTACCTCTTCTGCCTATTTTATATCCCAGGAAGCCTTTTTCAGTATGTTTTCCTCATGTTGGAAAGCCCAGGGAGTGGTGGTGAATGGAGTTACATCCAGCTGGTGGACCCTGGGGATCATCCCCCTTGGCACTGGTGAGGCCACACCTCAAATCCTGTGTTAATTTTTGGCTCCTCACTCCAAGAAACACATTGAGGTGTTGGAGTGTGTTCATAGAAGGACAGTGAGGCTGGGGAAGGGACTGGAGCCCAGGTCTGATGAGGAGCAGCTGAGGGAGCTGGAGATGTTTATCCTGGAGAGGAGGAGGCTCAGGGGAGACCTCCTCACTCTCTACAACTCCCTGACAGGAGGGGGGAGCCAGGTGGGGGTCAGGCTCTTCTCCCAGGGAACAAGTGACAGGATGAGAGGAAATGGCCTCCAGCTGTTCCAGGGGAGGTTTAGGTTGGATATTAGACAAAATTTCTCCACCAAAAGGATAGTCAGGAATTGGAACAGGCTGCCCAGGGAGGTGGTGGAGTCACCACCCCTGGAGGTGTTTAAAACGTGTAAATGTGGCCCTTAGGGACATGATTTAGTGGTGGGTTTATGGTTGGACTTGATGATCTTAGAGGTCTTTTCCAACCTAAATGATTCTATGGCTCGATGCTACAAACCACTCTTCTCCCCCATATTTACCTGCTTGGTTTTTTAAAAACCACTTTGTGAATATTTTGGAAATTCTCTAATAATTGAATCCCAACTTCTGATTCCAGTGTAAACTCCTTGTATTCTAGTAAGTGCTGCCAATTCTCAAAACACAGCAAAGGTCCTAACACACCCAAAAACCTCAATATGCTACAAAAACTAATGTTTAGTGTATGTATGACCAACCAATATGTGCTGTAATAGCTATCTTTTAAATCAACTTTTTTGTGCTTGTATACTACGGTTATTGCTACGGAAGTACCTAAAGCTTTTAAAAATTTACAGAATATCTGAAATTATATCTTGTATGCTTTCCAAATGCCAGCCTTCCTGAACCCCCAAAAATTCCTCATCGTGGTATGTGACAGTATTTGATTTTTGAAAGCAAAAATTCCTCCCTGCATTTTGTTGTTTGTAGTGTATGAAAATATTTGCTTTTTCTGGGATTTTTGAAGGAAATATCATTCAGAATTATAACTCAGACTGTGTGAGTCTGCATACAAAATGTAAAACACAGAAGTATCTGTAAGAGACAGAAAGAATGTCTAAGAAGGCAAAGAACTGGAGAACCCTGAAAAAGGGTAATCCATAAAGTTGGAAACAGGCTGAGATTAAGAAATGTCACATTGCTTGAAATCCCTGAGGGGAGAGACACAGAAGGCATTTTATAAAAATGGATTATTAAGGTGCTGAAGACAGACAATTTCTACTTCCTTCTGGAACAGATCACAGAAAATAAAATGACTGAAAATGAAACAAGATGTTTCACTCAGAAAAAACAGTATTTTCTGAGCTCATGTCAGAGAAGCAAATAATTATATGCCTCATATACAACAATCAAGAGATAATGTAAACTAATATAAAAATAAGCTATATGCAGTGCAAACTTTACTGCAGTAAGGTGAAATGTAAGCCATTAAACTGGAATAGCAAACTTTAAACCAGAATGGTCAGTGCAGCAAAAACAAACAACAACCAATTAAAATATTTTCTCTTGATGTTTAAACTGGCTTCATGACATTAACATACTTCTAATTTTTTCTGATTTAGCTAGTGTGATACCATTTTAGCAGATGCTGAAGTCCATATTAATTATCACCTAAATCATTAAAGTTTTGCTCCAATTTAATAAAAAACTGAAAATTCTTTTTCCTTTTAGTTCTCAAAAAATGTAGTCATAACACATTCCTCCAGCGCAGAAATTTTTGATACGAAGTTTCACGATATGTAAGAGTCAGAATTGGATTTAAAGTAAGATAAATTCTTAGGAAAGTAAGAGAAGGAAGGGCATAATAATGTGTACTCATGTCATTTTTGCATATTCACATTCACAACCCTGAGAACAACTTAAATCTTTCTGACAAATCTGTGCTGCAAGACTATCCACACAGGTACCAAAGCCACTCACTTCCAGAGTGTCAGAATGCCTCCAAAAAACCAAAATGGTGAGACTTACCCCATTCAAAGGGAACGTTTTCCACCCCAGTTCTCCAAGAGCAGCTGTGGTATCAAGTAACACAACTGAAAATGGAAAAAGAAATGGTGTGTTTGTGGTATTGCTTGGATTAGACAAACACAATTATTAGACATAGAAAATTACTAAACCCCCATAGACTGAACTTGCCATATTAGCCAGGTACATTTCAGCTTTCACGGCTTACATTTCATTACCTACTAAATTTGTTTACACATATACCTGGAAAAAAATCCCACACTCTAAATCTTTTGCAGAAATCATTGTCAAATCACAACACACTACTGATATTTAACCATTAAAAGGTGTCTGAATAAACATGCTCATTTCTGCAAACCCCTGCCTGGGAATCTAGAAGTTCTGCACATGGACTTAAGCATTAAAGCTAATAAAATAAAGATACACAGAGTTTCAAAATTAAGATTTTTTTTTTTAAAAAGCCATAAACTTCACAGAAATAAAGTTATACAATATACAAATTGTATAACTTCGAATACAGAGAGACAAGCAACTTCAGTTTCTATTTTAGCTGGAATATCAGAGTCTTGAAAGCTGCTACAATATTTTGCATCAGTTCTGTAATATTTATTATTTGACATAAGACAATGTACATTATTGTATTTATATACTAAAAATGTTTCTGAATTATTTTAGTACGTTAAATTACATTAGTGAATGGAAGAGAAAAATGAAGCTAATGATAAACAAAATATGCAGCACATGAGACATTCTACCCACATGTACTACTGCCCTCTAATGGAATTGTTTTATCCAACCCTCTAATTTCATACAGCTAAATTACAATTTAAACATAAAATTAAGTATTGCATAGGGCGATTTACTTTAATTATCACATTGGTGTGTTTTGAACACTCACTTCCTTCTCACAGCCCACAAAATCCAGTTCTACTGGTTAAATGATGGAGAAAAAATGAAGCTGTATGTTTGGAACATGGCTACTCTATGCATACATTTGTGGGTTTTATATTGTTGTGCACTATCTTCCACCTCTTATCTGTCCAAATAATCAATGTACAGCTGCCTGTAATGTGTTTCTATAACGTGGGTCAGCACCAGCAGCAGCCAGGTCATGCTTTCTTGCCCTATGGAAAAGGCACCCTGGCAAGGACATAGAATTTTCCAGCTCATTAGAGGAACCTCAACCCAGCATCTTCCTTTGTCTTTTGTATCAGTGACAATTAAAGTTCCTCTTCATTTCAATGTATGTTGACTTTTAACCTGAAGCAGAAGTTTGCTGTCTCATCAGCAGACTTATAAGCAAGTAAGAAGCTCAGCATTAACCAAATAAAAGTTTAATGATTTATTTGAAGAAATTAATGACATTTTAAAATGATATTCAATAAAGGGGGAGTATTCTGCCCTCCACTACGTCATCACTTTATGAAGCTTTGGGAATAATTTGAGGATAAATTAACCATTTGTTTTGCAATCCCCGTTCTACTTCCAAAAAAATGGGATCGCTATTACCACTGAGGCTCTTGCTGGCTTCTGCTTACTTAAAAAGCTGATTTACAGCACTCACAGTATTTTCTATTTGTGTCAGGAGACTCTTGTTGAAGAATCAAGAAAAGCATCTTCCCATTTGACACGTGATGCAGCAGTTTCCTGTGCAAACTGTGTAACGTACTGGGAATCTATTGGCTCCAAAAAAAAATAAGATACTGGGTTTAGATATTTCCTTTCCATAGAGAAGACCAAATGCTCAGCTGATTTCTGGGAATATTTAAGTTCATTTTATGTGTTTGTTTATTTCTCTCCATCTCTCCTCCACTTCTCTCTCCACCCAAAAAACATAGACTATTTGTTATGTGCTTTGTTTTCAGCTGAGTTTCAAGTTATATCTTCCTCCTTATCAAGTGCTATTCTGATGATAATTCTTTAATACTGGATTAAATAAATAATCAAATTAAATATACTATATGTTACAACCAAACCTGTGGATCTGAAGGCAGAAACAAATTCTTCCTACAAACAGCATCAGAGTTTAAAGTATCATTTCAGTTTTACAGTTTTTGTGGTAGCAGGATCAAAGTTTAATAAATATCACCCAGGTATTCAAAAGTAATACTTCCATGGAACAAGCCCTAAAATACAGGAAGGAAAACTAATTCATTTCTTCAATGGAGCCTGAATTAATTCCTTGCCTGAATTAATCAAGTACTACTTGAAAGCTCAGAGCTATACATTAAAAAAATTAAGAACTAGAGTAAATTCATCACTGAAAGTATATTAAATTTAGATTTAGTTGAACCATGATCTAATATTTCTTATACACATTTATAAATGATCCCCAACAAATAATTGAATTTTGTTAAAATGCAGTTTTTTATGCATTTTACATACCAGGCCTCCTGAATGCTCATATAAGTTCACTTATAACTCTGAAAAACCTCAAACTGGAGAATTCAAATAACCAAACAACTCCCAACCAGGATTAAACTGGCATCACCTTCAGAGTTCAAAATGAATATTGTAAATTTAAGAGACTGTCTTCGCAACAGTACTTGTATTACAAGGCAGTAAATAGTTATCAATCAAAACCATGTAAATACTGGCACATCAAGTAAATATTATGTTTATGCCACAGAAATCCAAACTCCAGTAAAGCTGTGAAATCAACAGAGCTTGACATAGAAATGAGGACATGGATAGAGTAATAAAACCCTCACACACTTGAGTGATTTGGAGATGTCTGAATGATAGACTTCAGTGTGGGGCAGAGGTACCCAAGCTCTCTTGAAATGAGGTAATTAAGAAGCAGTCTATCCCCAGCAGCACAGACCTGATGGCAGACAAAGCTGCGCTGCCAAAAAGCTTCCAACTCACAGAAAATTCCAGCTGCCAAAGAGATCCAGACTAAGAGGAATGTATACATCTGAACTGCAGGCAGGGATGAGCTTCCCCTCCGACTGCGGGGGAGCGGAAGTTTCAGAAGAACTGGAAATCTGCATGCAAAGACACTAAAAGGAAATGGTGGATGATGCTCAAAACGAGGAAATCCCTAAAAAGTTAACAGAACCAGGAAGGCACATTTACTGACCCTTGTCCCTCTGTTTCCTTCTTTATACTCCTTTATTTTATTTAATGGATTCTAATGGATTCAACCCTTGCTGAGCTGTAAGGGAGCCACAAAGATCATCCAGTCCAGCTCTTCAGTGAATAGCCCATATGGGGAATGACCCCACAACCTTGGCATTATTAGCACCATTCTCTAACCAACTGAGCTAATTGTATTTATAGACCATAAAAAGTCTCATTCCTCTTAAATGAGACTCTATGAAAAGTGGCCATTCTGGACAAGCCAGTATAAACAAAAGTATCTGGAACTACTGCAGTTAATATTGATGATAACTTCTAAGGACATCAGTTCCAACTAAGCAATGTCACTGACATTTCTGCACCCACTCCACGTTGGGCAGCCACTTTTCTGAGGTGACATGGAGTGTAAAACCTGCAGAGCTGAATAGGAGTGAAAGAGTGCAGGTCTGCCATTACAAAGTCGTGTGTCATAGTTTGGAACTGTCCCCCCTGAGAGGCTGGGGGGGCTCAGAGGTGATTGGGTGCCAGGGCAGTGTTCCCTGGAGAGCCAGTCACCACTCATGTTGTTCGCTTCTGCTCAAAATCTTATATCACAGCACTGGAAGCTGTTGGCAGTCCTGTCTTGGTTGTTTTGCTGTTGGTGTCTGCTGCATGTGGATGTTGAAGGCCAGGGGGTGGCTGGGCTCTCTCTCTCCCCCTCTGGGGGAGCATTTGGAGTGTGTGCTGTGAAAGAAGAGATTCACAGCACCTGAGGTAAGAGGAGAGAGGCAGGCTCTGCAGCCAAGCCCTCTCTCCCCCCTCCTTTTCTGCAGTGAAGCTGTAGAGGGGGGCTCTTCCTTTCCCTGCACTGTAAGTGGAGGAGAGGCTCACCATTGAAGCTGAGCCAAGAGACTGGGCCGTGGAGGTAGGCCCGGCGCTCGGGGAAGAGTCCCAGGTGAAATTGGAGACGAGCCAGGAGCTCGGGAGCTGCTGCCGAAGCTGAGCGGGGCAGCCAAGAACTGCTGTGGAGGAAGGAAGATTCCAGGCCGTGGACGCTTGATAAGCTGCACTGCAGCAGCCTACGGACCGAGGGGAGACCCCGAGAGGGAGAAATCACCAGCAGCAGAAGAGCAAGGACTCACACCTGTCTTCTTGGAGTTTGTGAGGAGAGAAACTGCAATAAACAACTGGAACTTGGTGAGGGGAGAGCGTTCAGGAGCCCAGAACACTCCCACAGCAAAAGACTGTGTTAGGTATCAGCCTTGAAAAGCTGCTCCTGGACTAAAGTTAAAGGAGGGGCTTGAAAGGACTGACTGATAGAAATGTAATATATATATAGTTGCCTTTAGTTTGCATAGTATTTATTTGTGTAAATAAATGTATATACTTCCCCCTTCCCCTACAGAAGCCTCTGGTCTGAAAGCTTCTCTCCAGTGTTAGGATAAATTGTTGGGAAGGGGTGGGGGGAGCCTGAACATAGGATTTTTGGATTTCTAATGTGGCTCAAACTGCCACACATGTAAAGAGTCAAAATGAACTCAAAAGATCCCTCAAAAAATCTCTTTGGACAAAAAGACTTAGCACTTGAATATCCTTCCTTCAATAACTGAGCCAGGGACACTGCCACTTGCCCAACAATAATATACAGATTCAAACATACACCTGTAAACCTATTGTTTTAGTTAAGTGCCCGGTTCATTTAGAAGTGTTTAGCTTTGTTTTCCAGTACATACTTTAACAGAAATTACACTATTATAACTCATTATGCCATATTGAGCTTCAGTTTCTTTTTTTTTTTTTTTTTTTTTTTTTTTTGAACATATCTTACACTGCTATTATTAGACTTTACAACTGAAATTAATCTTTTCAGAGGTTTTGCCTGGTCCCCAGGGAACTGTTTGATTTAAAATTATGACGAGCGGAGCTCCCAAGGACTGACAGTGTGGAATTTTAATTCTGATTCCAAAATACTCTTCTGAAGATGAACTCTGCAATTGTGTCTGTACAG